AATATTTAGGACCACAAATTTTTTATAGATGACGACGTATATTTAGAATTGAGGAGAGTACATATATCACCTATATTTTCTAAGTGAACATTTCAGCCTATATAAATTATAAAAACTTGCAGACACATTTTCACAAAACTTGATTGAATTAAGTACTCCCTCCGGTCCCATTTATAAGTCCAATTTTAGAAGGTGTATTTGGTCTCATTTATAAGTCACGGTGCGTCTTTTTAGGTAATATTTGAGAGGTATTTCCAAAATTACCCTTCATGAAAGAGAAAAAGTAACAGGACATTACTTTTTAGATTTGTTATATAGGGGCATGTTTGGAATTTTACTTACTTTTATTCCTTGTACTTTTATTGCATTGGTATTGATGAGGTTGGTAGAAATGACTTATAAATAGGACCGGAGGGAGTAGAATACAAAGGACAAAGTATGAGTTGATGAGAGAGAGAGAGAGTGGAGTTTGATGAAGTTGAGATATGTACGATGAGATGGGCAGGCAGGGAATCATATATTTGCTGAGCCATTGACATTCCAAGCACCTTCTGCTCTGACTCTCCCAGAGAACCTAATTCTCTCTCTTTTACAATTTATGCATTTTATTTCTTATGATATTTTCATGCTTTCATGTAAAGTCTTTTGTTCTTCCCTTTGTTTCCCCCCCCCTTTCAATTTGCAATTTAACTTCTCCACGTCATCACCATGCTGAAGAATATCATTTACACACAATCCATAATTGTAATGTTGTGACATTTTGACTATGTAATCCCATCATCTAATTAGTATTGTCATTCTCACTTAATACGGAACATGTGTGGTCACAGTGTCTGATCTTTTCATTAGCTAAATCTCAAGCTAACCAATCACTTCACTCACTTTTTTTTAAGTAAGAAATTAAAGAGCCATAGAGATTTGTTCTTTTCAAGGATCCTATAATTCTCTAATGTGACGTAGCATTAATCATTCACAATTGAATTTGGAACCTAATGGGGCCAATAGATAAAAAATGGAGTCACCCCTTATCGCAAGTACTTGAATTTGTTGTTTTCTTTCATTTAGCTACCCTTTAATTAATTTCAAGATTTTGCGGATTAATGAATGGAATTGTGGGGCGTGTCAAGAGGGGAAAAAAAAAAACACATGATGGGGCATGATAGATCTCTGAAAAAGCAGAAGTTTAGATCATGGTTGCTTCTTGTTGGATTTTAGCTTTTATATGTATGATGATGAGGAAGAGGATCATGATTTGCCAATATTGAGCACTCATCCTAATAAGGGTCTCAGATGGGAGGGTAAGTGACCACATAATAAGGGTCTCTTGCCCTTAGAGAGAGAGAAAGAGGCAGGCTACAAGATAGTGATGCTTCAAAAGGGCAGAGCAGGGCTAGGACCCTGTATCACTAACTCTGATAGAGACGCCTCAATCTCTTTGCCATTGCACCACCCACCCCCTTTGCTGTTTTATGATTTAATTTCTCTGAAATTCAAATAAGAGCGTGTGGATGTACATAAAGCTCAAGTTTCCCCTTTTTCCCACCACCTCTCTTTTATTTTCCCCCTAAAGCAATATCTGAATCCATGAATTCTTTCAGGGAAAAATATTTGGCATGTTGTATTACTGGACTAATCTAGACTTGAACCAATTCGATCAAATGACTAAACAAGTTCAGTGGTTGCAAATGTCTGAACTCACAACGGCACGCTAAAGATTGGTCAAGTTTCATGAACCTGATACAGACATTGGGAA